TTCACTTAACTGTTGTCGAAAGCAATAGCATCACCGTCACTTTGCGCTACAACAACGCCAAACCACCCACAAACTGGCTGCACTGGAATATGTTATCTCGACAGCATGCTGGGAAGGCATTCGAACATTGTTTCATAAATATTTCATAGCTGTGCCACAGCACGACTACATGCCGGTAAGTTAGCTAAACCGACTTTAATCGTACATTTACGTGAGCATCCGTACTCGATGTATTGGCATCCAGACTGCAATATTTCAAATCCTTTTTGCTACGGCAGCAACAGCAGAAAATCCAAACACTTAAAAGCGTACACGCTCGCAAAGCACACACATACACACACTTAACCAATTTCGCTCATACATGTCACATCAAACTTAATTTCATTGCATTTTATAGTGTTCTCTTCTCTTCTCTTACATTGGCAAACACACAATATGTATGAGAGGGTTTCTATGTATGAGTGTGTGGGTGTATGTACTATTGATCCAATAATAAGCGTATTTGTGTGAGGAGTACTGATAAATGTGAATTATATGTGAGTTGGTTTAGTTCCATTTATTAGTCCATAAAACAGTATCCAATTACAAACAGCACAACAACAAGAACAACAGCAGCAACATCACTGCTTTAATCACTGCCATAACAACAAAAACAATATGTTTAGATCGAATTTTCGAAACGTGCCATTGCAGAAAAGGTTTTTTTCAGTGACTAGCTAGCTGGCTGGTGCTCTGACAGGTCTCTTCTAGTTTTGTGTCTAACCAATATTACAGATTGGATACGCTCTATTTGACTTGGTTATGGTAGAACATGAAATCAGCGGGAGTGACGGGGAGGGGGTTCCTACTGCTTCTATTGTTGTTTTTATATTCACATAAGATTTAGGTTTTTGCTCTCGCTTCCGAGGGGTACCAGCAATCGAATTACGCGATTTATTAGTTTTCATGTGAATCGTATTTCAAAGTTGCCATCAGATTTTTGCCATTTCTTTGCTATTGTCGTGGAATTGTTGTTCGAAATTGATGAATCACAATGGATTGGATGGAGAATAACATTTTAGTTGGAGAATGTAATATGAGTTAGAATTTGCCATAAAACACTTAATGGCCTCTTATGTTCAACATGGATGTTTGCTTTCTAAGATAATAAATAAATTGTTGAGATTTTAGATATGTAGCCTCGGATAATGCTTTAAGATTACAAAAGATTACAGATGTCGAATTCAGCATAATTTAACGTTTCTCTTCCTTAGAATATGACAAACGATCTTGTATTTTGGAAATTACGTTTAGCTTAGCTCTCAATTTTATTTTAAAAAATCTGCTTAACTTTAAGAGGCCTTTTTATGGGGCCGATATAAGGAAACTGCTAGGGGAAGTTTCCGTAGTTAGGATTTTCATAGAAATAAATGATACATTATTATCATTCCACTGACATTTGATTTAGGTACTACATTTAAGTGATTGAACTTTAGCCGGGTGGAGAGAACCATGGCAAATTATAAGGTCGACAAGTAAGGCCAGCTAATAACTACATTTAAGGTCAGCATAATTTAGATTGGCTGCCTAATAAAATATGTGTCAAACATTTAAATTTACATTTAAAATGTATCACAAAATGTCGATTGGCTTCAATTCAATCGTTTGATCATTAATTGTACCCTCATTTGATACGGCCAAAACGTGCCTAGTCGAAATAATGGTTTTAGACCCTAGGTCTCTTTGGACGAAATCCGTTTAAGGACATTTGGAGTCGATATAGCGATGTCCGTCCGTCTGTCTGTCTGGCTGGCTGGTGCGCACGACATCTCACGAAGGGAGTATCTGATTTGATCCAAAGTTGGTACATCGTAATATTATTGTCAAACTTAGATCGAGTTCGGAGATGGGCAGTATCGGTCCGCTCCTTCTGGTACCTCCCACACAAAATGTCAACATTTTCAAAGAACATAATTTATTGCACAGAAAGAGAAAGGATAATCCCATTTTGCTGCAACTTTGCGAATCCTCATATTTTCATCAGTGCTAGGTCAGGTGCGAAAATAGACATTATCGGTCCTCTCCATCAGGTACCCCCCCCATAAAGGGTCAACATTTTCAATAATTACAACTTTTATAAAATGTGATGTAAGGGTCCGATTGTCTTCAAATTTCACACATCCCAATAATTTTATTAACCCAAATTCGAGTTCGGAGATGGGTACTATCGGTCCACTCCTTCTAGCACCTCCCCCCACAAAAGGTCGATATTATCAAAGAAAATAATTTCACTGTGATATGTGATATATGAAATACAGTCATATTTTACAAAGAACAAGTTAAAAAGTATCAGTCGGTATTGCCTGTGTTCGATTATTAAAATATAATTTGACTAATGTTACAATTATTCAAACGTTTGACCCTCTATGGAACAGGTTCCGAAAGAAAGGCAAATATTGTCTATTTAGTATCGGACCCAAAAATATGATATAAATATTCCGACGTTCCTGGTATGGATTATATTGACTAACTCCTTCACTTATATGAGATATGTAATAATTTTTAGAAAATGTTAAAATGTGCGTGATGTAGAAGATAGAATCTACCCAAATATTCCACTTTTATACTTCATCTGATACAAATAAAAAATATTGAGCGAAATATTGGGCAACATAACAAGAAAGGATATTTATGTCCAATTTTATGCGAAATCGTAAATTCCGATAATTTTCATATTCATATCAGGCTTCTTATTGGGAGAAATAGTTGAGCATAGCAGGTAGCAAAGAATTGCTAAATTGTTTCGAAGGTTATGACAGATAAAATTATTGAAAATTGTGACCCCAAAAGGGGTTGGCAGATATATATCAACTTCACAACAGATCTTGTGTTAGCAAAAATATTTGAAATTTGAAGAGAGTTGGATGTTTATTTCGCTTTATTTGAGCGTTTTGTTTTTCAAAATCTTGAACCCTATGTTTGGGGGAGAAGAAATGGTTCGATCTATACCACCTTTATAATAGATCTTGTTTTGATAGAAATATTGAAAGTCTAAATGGAATCGCATGTTAATTTGGCGTTTTATGTGCTTTATGGAGTGGACCGTTATTGTCCATTTTCGCACATGACCTAGCACTGATGAAAATATTAGGATTCGCAAAGTTCGAGCAAAATCGGATTATTCTTTCTCTTACTATGCAATAAAATATTTTCTTTGGAAATTTTGACATTTTGTGTGGGAGGTCCCAGAGGGAGTGGACCGATATTGCCCATCTCCGAACTCGATCTAAATTTGACAAAAATATTACGATGTACCAAGTTTGGATCAAGTCGGATACTCCCTTCGAGAGTTATCGTGCGCACCAGCCAGCCAGACAGACAGACGGACGGACATACATCGGTAGATCGACTCCAAATGTTCTGAAACGGATTTGGTCCAAAGAGACCTAGGGTCTAAAGCCGTTATTTTGACTAGTCACGTTTTGACCGTATCAAATGATATTTACCCTCTGTAGCCATATGTCTGCAAACTATGCATACTCATGTACACATTTTTAGAAATTTATTGAACTGATAAGAACCTAAGGGGTTACGGTTTGCAAAACCAACAAGTTTTGGCCGATTTATAAGGTTGGGAACATAGTGAATATGGGTTCAAGATATAGAAATAGTGAATGCCTTGCCCAATTTGGACCGATGTCATTCAAATTAATGATGAGTTCGCGACAAAATTGAGGCATGTTCTTATTGTGGCAAAAATAGTTTCAGATTTGGATGAGCCCCAATGCGTGTTTGTTTCAACGATCTATTAATAACTTGCAAGATTTTGGTTGGATGGAGCATCATTCTTGTGGAGTGCATATTACAAATGTGCGGTACTCAAACATCAAATCAGATGAAACATATATATGTGAGCTATAGCTATATCTGAACCGATTTTCATCAAATTGAATGTACTTGCTTCTAGACTGATTTTGGTCGGATGTGCCGAAATGCAGATCACTGATATTAACCATTTGGTAATATCGGCCGATATCGGTTGAAGATACACATGGGAGCTATATCTAAATTTGAACAGATTCTCACGAATTTCAATAGGGTTCGTCCTTGGGCCAAGCAAATATTGCTTGCAATTTCATCTCAATCGGATAATAAATGCAACCTGCATTTTGTTCACAAAAATAAATGGACAGACCAACGGACGGGACGACTTAAAAGCATAAATCGACTCAAAATGTGATTCTATGCAAATCATCAAAAGGAACTATGGGTCTATATCTTTTCCTTCTCCATGTTACAAAAAAATGCACAAAGATATAATACCCTTACCACTATGTGGTGTAGGATATAAAAAACGTTTAAGATTTTGACACATGTCCCATAGATGTCTTTTTCAATTCGAAAAAAATTTGAATTTCAGCCAGTCTGGAATTTCTAAGGTCAGCTAGTATTAAGTAGCCGTTCTTAAATATGCTCTACGAACATTTATTCACATATGAATGTTTTATTATATCTAAGAGGTATTATAATGGTACTTATCAATAGTTCTGTCAGTTGCTTCTGTTCAGATTTACATTTGTAGTCAATTTTCAAATCCACATGAAATTCGGAAGTAATATTAGAACAGTTATCCACCGTTTTGAACAATTCAACAATTCCGAAGTAAAACTTTAAGATCATTCGCATATTTAACAAAACTTTTATTAGTTCCTTATCTATGAATAATTAAATTCTCGTTTAATTTCCTTGCGTTGTTTTCAGCTTTTAATTCTATTTTCTATTTAGTAATTCTCTTTATGTGGTCAATGGCTGAAGTCATTAAATAGAAATGCGATGGCAACTAAATACCCATAGTTAAAAAAATAATCTCAGTAACCACAGACATTTAATGCCCTTAAGTTGTTTTCCATCATCATCATCATCATTGCCAACCAAAAAAAAAAAAAAACAATATCAGAAGTAAAGCTCAGCTCTTAACCTCAATGACGTTGTGTTCTCTTCCTCTTTTCATCTCTTTGCAGATTTTTAATGACAACGATAATCACAAAACGCTTACTGTAGACTGTTATTATTTCGATATATCTACAACAACAAAAACTGGAAATAGCCTACATACATATTATATATATCTATGTATGTCTAGCATATATACAACAAAAGTAAAAGCAAAACAACAACAATTGTAAATATATATTTAATGTATAGATAAATATAACGACAACAACACGGACTTCCTTTTGAATATTCCTAAAACTTTATATACCTCAAAACTCACCCACCCCCCTTCAGAAACAAAGCAAACAGGCAGACAACCGCCCGCATCCACTTCGTCATCATAGAAAATTAAAATAATAACAACAGCACATCAAAACTGAAATAAACAATTAAAAACACAATAATCTTTGGAAATCGATTATTAGCTACTTGCCGTCGAGGGGTTGGGCAGGGAACACTCGTCCCATCCGGCCATCAGTCTCGCCACCAGCAATGCTTGGCCACAACCTCGACATCAACTTGAAACCCACCTCAGATATTTTGGCCGCCGCCGCTCTACTCGATGTCAGACAATATTTCAATGAACGCGACCTCCTGGACCTGCGCACTTATGGCTATCAGACCAACGACACTTTCCTCCTGCCCGACTACGATGAGGCTGCCGTCAATGCCAAAACATCCGCCAATGTTGTTAATCTGAATAACAGTAATTTCATAATCTTCAACCGAACAGGCTTTGCCAGGAACGACAGCAATAATGACAGTGGCACCATCACAATTAGCAGTCCTAATGATGTGTCGGCCATAAATGGTAATGTCAGCGTCGGCCTGCCAATGCCCGAGGATGTTGTTGTGCTGTTGAAAATGATAAGCATGTCCATTGTTCTGGGTCTAATGATACTTATCACCATAATTGGTATGTATTTAGTAATAGATAGTATAATTTTGTTTTTTGTTTTTTATATATTTAAAACTTAAATTGACTTGAAAATTTAGTATATAATTTCAGCTTTATTTCTGAACAAAGAATTTTGAAAATCATCCATTAGTTTAATTTAATTAAACAGATGTTAAGGAAGACTTAATAAAGTTTAAACATAATTCATGCATCTGTTTTTTGTCAGTAGAGTACAGTTAACAAATAAAAATTACTCTATTTTTTAAATTTTGCTCATTACTTTAAATAGTGTCATAATTGATTACATATAATTTGTATAGATAATTTTAGATAAAAGTATATGGTCTTGTACAACGTTCAATACATTTCGGGCGATAAGGAAGTGGCACAAAAGAAAGAAAGAATTTCGTTAATTCTTGTTCAGATACGGGTGTAGCTCTCAATCATATGATTCACCGTTTTTTCTATCACTCTCATATTTTGTGACGAAGTGCAAATAATAAATTTGAAACAATTCCGGAGAATAATGTAGCTAAAATCATGAACATACCGAATATAGGGAGGTACCGATATTTATAGGCTATACGAAGATCTGGATCTGTTTGGGAACTTCAATTTTGATATAATTGCGGTGAACAATGTATCTAAAAACGTCAAAATAACCAATATAGGGAGGTACAGTTGTATAGGAGGTATACGAAGGACTGGACTTGCATATGTGTTCCCATTAGGAACTTCAAATACGAAATTTGAAACAATTCCGGAGAATAATGTAGCTAAAATCATCAAAATACCGAATATAGGTAGGGAGGGAGGTACAGATATTTATAGGATCTGTTTGGGAACTTCAATTGTGATATATAATTGCGGTGAACAATACATCTAAAAACATCAAAATAACCAATATAGTGAGGTGCAGTTGTATAGGATGTATACGAAGGCCTGGACTGGCATAGATGTCCCCATTAGGAACTTCAAATACGAAATTTGAAACAATTCCGGTGAATAATGTATATGAAATCATCAAAATACCGATTATAGGGAGGTACCGTTATATGGGGGCTATAAAAAGACGTGGACCTGCATAGCCAATTTTCCGTCAGAGACTGTAGTACCCATTACGAATTATAATTGCGAAATTTGAAACGGGCACGGTGAACAATTTCTCTAAAATCATCAAAATACCGAATATATGGAGGCACAATTATATGGGGCTTTAACTAAACGTGGACCTATATAGCCCATTTTTAATAGCAAAAGTTCTGCAGACGAAACACACATTCGAGTAAAATGTTTTAACCTACTTCATATTCTTGATCAGCGTAAAATTCTAAGACCATTAAGCATTGTCTGTTGTTGTAATCACGCTGGGGTCAAAACGAATTGAAATAGAACCAGTAAAGAAAGTCCTAAAGTCGGGCGGGACCGAATTTATGATACCCTACACCACTTTGCTAATTTGGTAGAGCTCCACATAACAATTAAAAGTTTTTATGGGAGAATTCAATCATACACGCTATGATTATAATTACAATTTAAAGTTCAAAGGACAAAATATGCCGAAGCATTTGTATCTTTTAAATTCGGACTTTTATTGCACATTTGGTGCAAAATTAATTTGAAATCAGATAAATATATATATATATATATATATATATATGGGAGCTATATCCAAATCTGAACCGATCTCGATAAAATTTGGCAAAGATATTTCTGAGCTGTATTTGATATATTTCCCTGAATATCGTTGTTACGGAGTGCATATTACGGCTGTGGGTAACAAATGCAACAAATTGGATGACTAATATATATGGGTGCTAAGGCTATATCTGAACCGATCTTCACTAAATTCGACATACTACCTTCTAGTCTCAATTCGGCCGTAAGTTCCAAATTTCATCCCATTTGGGCAAATACTAGACGTTTGGTGCACAAAAAAAGGTAAATCGGTACTTTACTCCCATATTGTGTAGCCCCCATATAACGGCACCTCCCGATATTGATTGCATATAGCCTCCATACAAAGGTACCGCTAGATATTCGATATTTTTATGATTTTGGTTGGGTATTTATGTAATTTTCTTGGAATCATTGAAATATCTGACGAAGTTCATAAAACATTTCGAGTAACGAGGGTTCCCCTTATATAGAGATAAGCATTAACGTGGACCTATATAGACAATTTTTCAATTTACAATTATGACTGAAATTTCTAGATGTTGCTACTAGCAAGTATTTTGCTACTTCGGTGGTAAAAAGTCCATCTTAAAATTCGTTTCACCAATTCGTGTTAAGCCTTTTTAATGCTGAAAATTCACTATTTGTTCAGTTTGATACATTATTTCATCAACACTTCATATAACGTACTAAATTTTCAGACCTTAAAAATTGTATATATTTTTAAAGTTTTTCCTTTTTCTATAAACTCTAGAAACCACCAGTACGAAATTTAGTAACATTTAACAATCTATATGCTAGGCACTGAAAGTGATCCAAAATTCCATTGAAAAAAATGGCTAAAATCATCAAAATTCCGAATATCGGGGGGTACCATAATATGCGGGCTGTACGATATCGTGGACTGATACATCTTCGAACTTAACCTGCCTGCAAACAAAATATTGATATGTGCAAAGTTTCAGCTTCCTATCTTTATTCCTTTTTCTCTCTAGCGTGATTACAACAGACGGCTACATCGCCTTAGAATTTTATGCTAATCAAGAATATATGTACTTTGTTAGGGGTACCATTATTATTTCGATGAGTTACAACCGGAATGAAGAACTGAATATATGTATGGTGAAGTGTATACAAATATGGAAACTTGTCCCCTCTATTAAGGTTACTTTGCGATGTACGCGTTCAAAACGTCGTGTCTTTTATTTATAGCCGTATATTCATAATCTGTTGGATTTGTCCGCTTATCTACGAATTTATTGAAATTTTGATAGAATAATTGTTTACCTATAAAAAGTCTTCAAAATATTTCATTTTGAAATTTACCGAGGAGAGTATTAGTAAAACCATGGCAAAATTATTTCAAAGTCTCCATATGTAAACGTTAGAAACCAAAAGTGACCTCAATATCAAATTTCAGGATTTCAGCTCTGTAGTTTTCCTCATTCCTAAATTTAGTACAATTATAGTACACATATCCAAAACCAGCTCCTTCTTTCAGAAACATACGCCAACAGCAACATCCATATCGAATCACGTCTAATACCCAAATTAGTACCACTTAGTACTTTTCGAACAATTTTACAATTTTAATGTGTACTATTTCCAATACCACCTCCATATTTTAACCATCTTAGCCACCTCTATTTCAGCTCTATTCCTTCACCCAATATTTATTTTAATAACATCTACATATCTCAATTCCAGATACCAATAGAGACCTCAATATCTAATTTGAAGATTCCAGTCCTGTGCCATTTCCAAATCACCGCCAGTACCATTCAGTACTTTTCACACAATTAAAATACACGTTTCCGAACGAACAGCGACTAAATTTCAGATTTTAAGCTCTATCTGTTTACCCAATACCAAATTGTACCAAATATAGTACTACTTAGTACTTTTGGTGCACTTGTTTTACCCGTTACCAAAACCACTTCCTTTTCACTTGCCTACGCATCAAGACAGACCCTCGTGCAAAATTTCAAGATTCTAGTTCCAACTATTTCATCCAATTGTAGAATTATCGTACCAAATCTAAAAAAATCATATTTGTGCCAAAGATTCATGGGATCTTAACCCGTTAATTAAATATAATTTTAATCGACTGAACTTTCGACTTTTTAGTTGAATGTTAAAAAAAACCCTCTGTACACTCTTCTTTATTTTACCTCACTAAAATATGTAAATATCTGTGAATTTAAAACATCTAAAGCAGCAGCAGTGTCTGTCTTAATATTAAATTATGCACAATTGTATATACATGTTAACATCTAATACATACAAGACACATGCGCTTTATTGAAATTCTCTCACCTCTATATAATTAGGATTGATTCAAAAACCAATATGTGTGTCAACATAGATGTACACACATACATACATACTTGGTATATACCAATGGCGGTAATTAATTTGAACTCATTTTCTCATTGATAATAAATATTTATTATACTTTATAACTTTGTTAAGTCTATTATTAAAGAGGGGAGAAGTGTCATATACGTACGTTATATACATTACATTCATGACGTCACATATCATTGAATGCCTCTAATTACATTTCTATGGGGGGAAAACCAAACAAAATAAATCCAATCCTTGAGGGCATATTAAACAATACAAGTTAAGTGAAGTGTATTTAAATTATTAATTATACAAAAGACTTTACTGTCAATTATTGATATATTTAGCTTTTATTCCCACGTAATTATTGAATTATAAAACAATTATATTGTGTTGTAAGACTTACATTTTATATTACAAAACAAAATATTATATTACAATAGAAAATAGAATGCTCTTCGGAAATGTTGTTTAGATATTTTTATACCCTACACCACAAGGTGGTCAGGCTATTATGTCTTTGTGCATTTGTTTGTAACAGGCAAAAGGAAACGAGATAGACCCATAGTTCCTTTTGATGATCTACATAGAATCACATTCTGAGTCGATTTATGCATGTCCGTCTGTCCGTCCATCCGTCTGTCCATGGATTTTTGTAAACAAAGTACAGTTCGCATTTATTGCCCAATCCAGATGATATTTTGCAAAGATCTTATGTTTGGCCCAAGGACGAACCCTATTGAAATTGGAGATAATCGGTCAAAATTTACAACAAAATTAGGCCTGAAAATAAGTGTGCCAAATTTGATCGAAATCGGTTCAGATATAGCTATAGCTCCCATATATACCGTTCATCCGATTTGTTATATTTGTTACCCACAGCCGTAATATGCACTCCGTAACAACGATATTCAGGGAAATATATCAAATATAGCTCAGAAATATCTTTGCCAAATTTTATCGATATCGGTTGAGATTTGGATATAGCTCCCATA